TTCCCTACCCACCCCAGAAAATCCTAAAAATTAACGTCGTGCCTTCCCCAACATGCAGACTGAACTAACAGTAACCTTCCCCCCTCTCTTTACTCATTTCAGGTGCAAGGACAGGAGTATGCTGCATTACTTGTTCTCCATGATTCTGTCTATGATCAGGCATATATGTGGTTTAACTCCCTCAAGCAAGCACTCAAAAGTCGAATTCTCAGTCATTTTGGTCCAATGCCAGCTAAGGATCCTGACCCACAGGTATTGAGAATCGGTGGCTTCCGTAACTTTTAGAGACAGAAATAGCAGGGATACCTGATAAGCTGGGAGGCATTGTGTTTTAGGAGGAAAATATGAATGCTCTTCATTATCCTGCATAAGCTACGTAAGTTATGTTGCCATACACCAGTGGTAGCACAGTTAGGAACAAAAAACTTCATATTTAATGTTGGTAAGTTCCTGAGACTACTTAGTTGACTGTATTAATCCCAGGAGACTTAAATGCCTTTTTGCCTACTCTACTTCCCCAATTAAATGACTGAGAAAAAATGGACAAGAGGAATCTTGGGACTCTCATTCAAGGACTGCAAATGGCAGGGATCCTAAAATAACAGAATACGACAACAGCAACTAAATATGAAGTAGTGTCATAACGTATGAAGAAGGGAGGCAGGAATCCCAAGGAACTGGGTCAATAATAACATGGGAACAAAATACATTAAAAAAAAAATATCTAGAAGGCCCAACTTATAAACTGTTGCTAGAAATAGAAATGCATCTTGTTTCTGCCTTCAACATCCTATTTTCAGGAAAGGTACAACTTGGTTGTAATTCGTTTCAAGCAAACCTGTAATCACAAGCCATTAGGTTGGCAATGAAATTACCTGCTTGCTAGATTGCTATGAAAATACTGCGTTTTCGAACTTAAATCTTCAAAACTAAGACCTTACCATCTATATGTATCCTGATGTGTCTTTTTTTTTTTTTTTCCTCCTGGTTGCAGTCTAATCCTAACGGGCCAGCCTGGTGCTGGTGGGTCCTGGCTGTCCTTCCACTTGAGAACAGAGCTCAGCTCCCTTTCCTTGCCATGAAATCCCTCAAAGACCGCTTGAATGGCATCAGACGTGTCCTTACATTCATGTCTCGTACAAGATCACGGTGATGGTGAGGAGAGCTGTGAAGTCTCCCACAGTACTTGACTGTAGACTGTCTCTTGTAACTTCATCTAACTGCAATAATGTCTTACAGATTTGAGTGTCAGGATGTTTCAAGCCTGAATTTCAAAGAAAATGAGTTATTAAGAGCAAGGGATGTTTATGGATACTTTAATAGTTTCCATTTGAAACTCTGAGATGATTATTCAATCACTGCACTGCTAAATTAATAACAAATGTGATAGAACAAAAAGTGATCTTGTTTGCCATAAACCTTTTAAAAAGCTTAAGAGGTTTTTTTAATTTATTTTATTTTTATTTTTTTAGTGGATAAAGGATAAACTGTGCAGTTTAATGTGAAGCAGAAATAATAATGTTAATGCATTATTTCAGTGAACTGCAAAGTCTTTTATTCCAAATGGTTCAGGTTTTATATAGCATTGTGTAAAATAATGTTCACAACTTCCATTTGATAATTTATTTTTGCACTATGATTTTTTTGTTTCAAAATGTATATTATTTATGTGTTCATTCTCTAAAGGAAAGTGAGCTGCTCTATTTATTTACAGTGTTTTTACCCTGTATTTATGACTGGGGGCAAAATGATGATTCTAGCAGTGCACTAGCAAAGCAACTGCTTTGATAATTTTTCAGATATTTGCGTTCAAATACTTTGAATGTTTTTCTACTTATCCCCAGTTCTACTGTAGCCTAAGAAGGATTTCCTCCCCAAAACAGCCCGCCATGAAGTCTCTGAATACACAGGTTATGTCTGAGAATATTCAAGCACGGTTGTTGGAGCTTGATCCTGTGCTTGCAACTAGGTTCTTGCCATCACAAAAGAGTCAAGCACATGCTTAACCTGAAGCATGAGGGTTTAAGTGCTTGGGTAAATTCAAGTATTGATCAGTTAACGGCAGTGGGAATTGGCCATGGTGGTGACAGAAGGCTCTATCCCCTAATTTTTCACAGAAGAGAGAATGACTCTGATTTGAATTTGTATCTGAACTCTTTCTTGCAAGAATGGATAATGGCTATAAACAACTGCGAAGAAGAGCCACAATATATGAAAAGCAGCTTCTCCTAAAGAAAATGGGAAGTAGTAGTATCATTTCATTGTAGGTTACTACACAGATTTTTTGTTTTGTTTTTACATCAACTCTTGTTGCTGTTAAGATCAGTTTTATTTCTTTTTTTTAATTATTTGATGGGATTTGGCTTTGGAGTGTGTGTATGTGGGGGGAGGGAGTTACTTTGAACTGTAGGACTCAGAGGGCAGTTTGTCACATGAGAAGGAATGTTGTAATAAATGCTATTTATTTCACCCCAATCTTCAGGTTTCTGTTAGCTTCAAATCTCTACCCAGCCACTGCATTTCTCTTAAGAGATTGGGTAGTGTTGCTAATAATAAACTCCCAAGGAAAACAAGTGATTTTTAGCATGATTACTTCTGGCTATAAAGCAGGTAAAAATAGGGCAGAAATGAGAATATGAAGTATCTTGGGTTTGATTCTTTTTTTCTTTTTTTTTAAATCAACAGTTCATATACTTGTTTTGCTGCTTTTATTGCTTTCAGTGTACTGCTTTCTGGGACTGATCTTGCCTCCATCTGACTTTGACTTTCACTGATTTCAATGTGAGCAGAACTGGGCCTTTTATTCTAAGCTACTGTTTTCCTTTTCAGTGGCAAAAAAAATAGATTAAATTGAGAATGTTATGGAATGCTACAAATTTCTTTGTTATTTTTACCCAGGATAGCACTCTTTGCCATTCCATGCCTTTATGGAAAAATGTGGTAGAATTTAATGACAATTTTCTGTGTGGTTTTTTTTCCATCATCATCTCATCCATCAGAAATATTTATTAGTTAAAAGTAATTTCCATAAAACTACCTTTGTTCCCCTTCATGTTAAATTCTATAGAACTTTTCCATAAGGGTACCAAAGAATAGAATGGAAGACAAACGTGTTTCAACCTTGTGATGCAAATGGCATATGTATCCTGTGTTTGCATTGAGCTACTCTAGAAATGCTACAACTTATTTCCATACTGCTAGATTGCTGCGCTTCTTCCCTAGGTGGTACTTTACATGCTTCTCTGTAAACAGTGTATAGAAATACATACATATTCTGAACAATGACAAGTGTATGGTGGCTGACACCTGCTATGGCATTTGTCTTCATGAGTCAACAACTAAGTGATTTCTACTTGTTTGGAAGTGAAGCTGCATTAAATGCAATTCTTCCTTAAACCATTACGTATTATTGCATAACATAAGGGGCCCATATTGCTCCCATAGAAAAAAGCTGTCACTCTGTTATTCTTATCTGTGAGAAAAGGACCTTAAATATCTATTTTAAACTGTTTTCTCACTGACCTCATTGTTCTTTTTCCCTGCATGCTGCATCTTCTACATACTCATATTCTGCCTATTTTGTTGATCTAGAAATTGGCAGGGAAAGAATCCTTGATTTTAAAAGTGAATATTGTCTTTTCTATTAGCCTTGAGTAAAGCTGCCAGGATTTCCTAAGCAGAAACTCATGTACATGCCCTGTATCATGAATGCCCAGTGCATTTGTTGTAACAAATTTGTTGGAAACACTGGACCTACTGCATGTAATGCATACAGTTGATCTGTATATGCATAACAAATTGAGCTCATCAGGAAAGTTCATCTGTACATGTGCAGTAGCATTCTGTCTGGGACTGCTCTATGGCCACACATCCTAGATTAATAGCTAAAGTCTGCAAATTCCTTCAGAAGGAAAAAAAAAATAATTGAGAAACAGATTTGCTAGAGAACACAAACCTTTCCAGGAAAAGCTGGACAAGGAGTAGCCTTAGCCTTCAGTGAGTTGAGACAATAAAGATTCAGTACTGAGGTTTAAAACAAAAAAAAAAAAATCTTTTAGTTATGCCACAGTATTGCTCATTCTTTCAGTTGTATTAATCAGTACAAGGATATAAATGCAAAATTTATTACAGGCATGAATAAACAGCTTTTAAAATACCTTCACTGTAATTATAGAAACAGGATATAGATCATATAAAATACTAATTGGGGGAGTATTTTATTTAAGCTTTTCACATCTTTCTAGACACCTAGTCTAGTCCCATAACCAGTCTTGCTCAGCTGTCAAAAAAAAAGAGTCCTGCTCAAACTTGCATTTCCTGTGTGGCCAGAAGTATTGATTAATCTTTGTTGGGAGGGCTTAAGTAATGCATAGGCTTCTTGCTAGTTCTTCAAAGTCCATTTCCATTGACCCTAGATCACTGAGTTAGGATTACTAAAATCAATAGAAAATTTTTTATTTCCAAGAAAATGTGATCAGTCCCCCTCAAAAAAAAAAAAAAAAAAATCCCCCAAAACCAGGCTGGGGGGGGATACAAAAAAGCAAGTTTTCTGTGATGGGGGCTGAGAGGGAACCAAGAACAGATCAAACTATAACTAAGTGCCAGTCTTTTAGGCAGTATCACCTAAACATCTCCCAGAGACTTCTTGAAAGTTTTAGACTTGCATGGTAATAAGATATGGTTTTGTTAATTTGAAAACTCTTCACTTTTCTGTAAATGAAATATTTAACAAAATACATTAAAATAAATAACAAAGACTGGCTGTATCACCTTTCCAAATCTCTGTACATTTACATTATATGATTTCTAATTAAAAACAGAGAAGTTTTCTGCAGGAAGTAATACTAATTTTTCATTCCCCTATATAGGCAGACTTATGACACACAAAATAACTTTGCTTTGTCTTGTATGTTCCTTTGTCTAGCAATAACTTAAGGGGTTATGTTTCCATGAAAATAGCTGTGATCTTGGCTAGCATGACTTGGCTGAAAGTAAAGGACTGGATTAATCAAGAAAAATCATGAAACCTTACAGTGAACTTGGACACAGTTGTGGAAAGTAGTTCAGTAGTTTTAATAATGAAATGATAACATGGTGTGAGATAGGCCATTATCATGCTGAGTCTTAAGTGACATTCTGGTGTTAGTTGTAACAGTTTCTTTTACATTATTTTTTTCCTTAAGTGCTGATATCTTATCTTCCATTACTGTGTAGCACTAAGAGATACCAGCTGTCACACTGAATGGCTGACCTATTGCTTGGCCTATCCTTCTGTCCCATATGACTAACAGAACACCTGAACCATGGAATTCTTAATCCAAAGATTATTTTAATCTAAAAAAAAAAAAAAAATCGTGGATTTGGATGTAGCAGGTCTTGCTTAATCTGTGCTGTAGAGAAAGAGATTTATAAAATTAAGTTTTATTTTAGACAATCTTATCATAGAATACCAGGTTGGAAGGGACCTCAAAGATCATCTGGTCCAGCCTTTCTTGGCAAAAGCACCATGTACAGCCAAATCTTAAGTGTCCAATGTTGGGGAATCCACCACTCCCTGGGGAGATTATTCCAATGGCTGATTACTGTCATTGTGAAAAATTTTTCTCTTTATGATTTCTACTTGGTGCTGAAGTTTTACTGGTGTTTAAATTAGTGATGGATAGGAGTTATATCTCAATGCACTGTTTAGGAATGGAGAACATGTTCACAAACTCTTATTTAAAAAAACCCATGTAAATTAACTAGGGGGGGGTTGTGCATAAAAGCCCAATGGAACTATATGCGCTTAGGGTAGTGCTCCCTGTTCCCCCGAGTCCTACATCAGACAAACTCAGCCCCTACTTAGTTCTCATTTAATTTGTCAGCTTCACAACCTAACTTGTAACTGGTGCAGCGCATAGTTTAGGATCTGGGGTTTATTCTAAAGCCCAGTAAATCACTGAAAGTCTTATAGCTAAAGAAAAATGGTTGTTTCGGCAAAGTCACTATTCTGAAACACCTTGCTAAACAAATATTGTCTGGGTACAAGAAACTAATCTGCTTAGACAGGATTAAAATGGTGGATAATAAAAAACTGAACTATTACATTGAGTTACTCATCCAGGTATCATGTGAAGTGCTTACTAATGTTGGAGTTTCATAAGGTCTAAAGTAACCCTCACATAGAAGTGCCTGTATTCTGTTATTGCCATTCTTGAGCTTTTTAATAGAGTCATAGCCATATATTTTATAAATATAAACATATGCACCTTTAAATCTTTACATTCAATTTGCAGAACAAAGGTTTACAGAGCAGAAGTGTAGCAAAACCAATGTAATAGCTTCTATAATTCCCTGGTGAGGAACAGGAGCAGTACAAAAATGAGGAGCAAAAGACTATCTGTGTAAGATGTCTTAATTTGGCACCATATACTTGTCCAATTTAATTCCATCAAG